CCACAATAGAAAGTAACTCACTGTCTCTCAGAACAAAGACCTGCCTGCCCTTTGAACACACCCACTAAAAATGATTTCTACACACAAATCTGATTCCTTTCCTTGCCCACACTCGGCTATTGACTATTAACAATAAAAGATCCATATGACCAATGGAGCCATACCCACTAACAACCGGACCATGAGCTGGAGTTAATATTTTCCCGAGAGGAGATGATTCCAAAATTTCTATTGAAGTTGCTATCATTTCAAACACCCAATTAGAGGAGATGCCTGTCAATTTTGCATCATAAAAAATCCATTTTGTAATCAGCCTCACCAATAACTGAATGTGGTTGAACCAAAAGCTTAAGTCGTGTTGCAGTGACACAACGGGTTGATGAGAGTAGGCTTTGTCCCGGAGTCTCTCTGGCACATGAAGGACAAACATTCCCGATAGCCCAGGGTCTAATCAACCTGAGATTTTCTCAAAACCTTTGATGAGCATTAGGAAGTGTGATTGGGGGATGAGATGACAAGGTTGGTAGAAAGGAGTTGAGAGGATTGTAGAATTACGTGAGGTATCAACCGCCGGGCCATTGCTTGCAACCTTCCCTCATTGATCTATAACTTATCCCCATAAAGCAGGGCTATGTGTCAATTTGGTCTCCTCAACGCTCTCCTGCCTGGCCATTATGTAGGCGGAAAAACTTTTGGTTTTTAGCCCTGCATATGGCCAAGTCAATGTTCTAAACCAAACAAGTCTGATCTCATCTCCTATTTCCAATTATCAGAAATTGATCTCACATACTATTATTTTGAGAATCAGAACGGATCAAAACAATATACTCCAATTTGATCGGGCAATAATCTAACCTCTACAGAAATCTAATTGGAAGTACTCAAACAGACAAAGTCTATACATGGAGGGGTTAGGTAGTCAACTGCCAGGGGGTGCACTGGGGGCAAAGATTAGTTAAGCCAGTTATGGAAACAGGGAATGACAGGGGAATTGGCCAAGATCAGTGCTAAACAAAAGGATCATGTTTGAGCATAGCAAGAGGATTTGAGTCAAAGTTATGCTTTAAGCGCAATGCAGCATTATTGATTTGCCAAGGCTTGGTTATGATGGTGAGAGGAGATGTTGATTGGACTTAAGCATTCTGGGGCCTGAGGTGGTGCAGCTGCCATGAAACCCTAGTGGTGTATGAAAAGAAGAGGATGATGAGTGAGATGAGATAACAATATCTGGGATGAGAAAGCAGATGTATGTGATGAAATAGTATGTGGTCTTGCAAGGGTGTCTGGGAAAAAACCAAAGCCCCGCTTGGCCAGGTGCCACTGGGGGTTTGGATTGTAATTTGTGCCCAGAGGGCTTGTCAGCTATGTGTATGAAACTTTGGCTTAATTAATATAAAAGCCAAGTACTATCACTGTGCTGAAGGACTTGTTTAAAGACTAAGATTACTCCTAGTCACCATCAAAGTATTAAGTGGTCCAAACTTTCCACTTAAGAGGTTCAAAGTCCACACTCCTCAGTTAAAGACACTTGAATAATCAAGAGAGCACTGTAGGAGACAATAACAGAATATGTTATTGTAGAGTGTTTGGAAGCAATAATTAATATTGCAAGAAGTATCTGGCATTGGCAAGAACCTGAGCTGAAAGGCTACAGCCAGAGGTGGTGGTCTTGCAGCAACTACTTTTTAAGGAATTAATTAAGTGTTGAGTCTGGTATAACTCTCAGCTTAATAATAATTCCAGTGACAAGGTAGGGTTGGATTGGATAAAAAGACTACTCTAAAAGTAGGTGGAGAATATTCACTGTACTCACTTAGTTTGTTGGGGGTGAATATGCTGAGGAACCAATCCTAGGGAGTAGAAGGCCTCCTTAAATATTCTAGAGGTCCCTTTGAGGCCCTCCTTAGAATATTCTAGAATCTCTCTTTGGTCTACCATGGTAGAATTATTCCCCTGATTTAATGGGAATAATTCAAGGTATTTCAAATAATGTATGTTCTATGTCCCATGACATCATGATGATTATTTATAGCCAATTACATCACGTGTCTACTTAAAATAGAATACTACTAGTAGAAAAGTGCCATACTCTTGACATAGTGTGGTAATTTTCTTTTCTACAAGTTTAATAATTTAATTATGCTTGTAGAATAAAATTTCTAAGGTTACCCTAAAGGTATATTTAACCCTAATTTAATATGGGGCTTGGTTAAACGACTCCCAAAAAGTGGAGAGCCGACTCCCAAGCCCCGGAATCC